ACATTTCATGCAAATACCTAAAAACTTGTACCAAAGTTAGGTACAAGAATGGGCCTAAAAGCAAAGCACTGTGATTATGATTTAATCATGGTCAATATAATGGGTCAAGTTGTATGAATTTTTTACAAAATGAAATACAGTTGCAAAAATATAGGCACAAGTTGTATACAATCTTAAAATATGAAAGTTACCTTCTCCCTAACAAAGAAGAATGAATAAAAGAATGAGAAAACTGAGGTTGTCTGGTTCTAAACTAGGTCTCTATTTGTAGGAAGGAGAAGTGCCCAGCTGGGATTTTCTCCCACTTGTACAAATATTATTGTCTGAACATTCACAATACATTACAATTGGGGATTGATTTTTTTCAGTAAGGACAAAGAGAGGCAGAATAAAACATTAAGAAGATTTTAAAAAGCAAAGTACATTTTAAATATCTCTTCCTGAATTAACCAGTTAAATATTTTTAATAAGATCAGGAGAAAGTAAAGACATTTTTTGTTAATATTTTTACTATTCCCATTTTATAAATGAAAATGTTTTATTAAATTCCTAAGCACTGATTAAAATCATTATCAAGAAAAATTCTGATGTCACTAAAATAAACTTGTTTAAATTTAAAAGGATAAAGTAAACAAGGAAATGAAATAGGGAAAAAACAATGTAATAATTAGTTAATATTCTTAAAAATTAAGTCTTACAATCTGTAAGAAAAACGTTGATTCTCTATAGCTAAACAGTTATACCATCTGGACAAATAATTCTCATACATGTTTGTTTCTCTTTCTCTCTCTCTGTCTCTCTGTCTGTCTCTCTCTCTCTTTCCCTCCCTCCCTCCTTCCTCCTCTCTTTCTGTCTCTCTCTCTCTTTCCCTCCCTCCCTCCTTCCTCCTCTCTTTCTCTCTCTTCAACCCAGAATAATATCTAATTATCGCTTGAAGCAAGATTAGCAAAGTAACACAATGAGCAAAAAATGAAACATATAAAAACATGAATATTATCAAATTGACCAAAACAATTAATAATGATACTCAAAATGAGTGACTTTTAGCAAAACAAATTCTCCAACATATAAATGAAGCATAAATATCTACAATGCTTTTACAAAGCCAACGGGCAGACTTTTATGACTCCCTGGGTTTTATGTAGTAAATCAACTATAGTTCTTCTGAGCTAATGAATTAACCCTCAGTTAAAAGAAAGCTTTATAATAACAACTGCTATGGTGTTTGAAGCATGTACTTCATGCAGCAAGTACAGCGGCCTGCACAAAGCGGGAAAGCAGGATTGGAACTCAGGTGTGTGAAGGCTCCCAACTACCCTTCTCATGTTCATTTCAGCATGGTCTATGGCTTTTGTGGACTGGAAACAACATGTGTTCTGCAAAAGAGAGCAGGAACAGATCTCTTTTGATATAACAGCTCCTTTATATGATGGAATATTACACATGCTTAAAATGAGGAGTTTTTCTTCAATTTGCAATAACATAAGAAAGTATGTATAAGTAAAAAAGCAGTATGCAGAATTCTACGTCTAGCATTATCTCAAATCCATTAACTGTTTATCAAAAATATCACATAAAAGACTACATTAAATGCCATCTATAATTGTTGTCGATAGAGGCATTATAGTTGAATTTTCCCCTTCTTTTATATATTTTCAATAATGAGCATTCACTACATTCATGCATTTTTATTTTTTTAATTGCAAAAATAATAATACTCCAGAAAATATTGGTGATCACACAGATGATAAAGTGCAAACACCTGTACTCCAGAGACAATCTCTGTTTAGAGTTTGCTATACATTAATATATATTCTAGTAGACTTTATAATACACATGAACTTGTGTATAGAGATTGTGCATGTCTGTGTATTTTTAAGAGAAATGGGATTATATTAAATATATTATTCCACAATTTGCTTTTTCAGTTAATAAGGTGTCAAGGATAGCTTGCCATTACTTTTATGATCAGAATTTTATTTTTTATGTCATTGCTATTAAAGTGAAGCACACTTTGTCATGACACATGGAGTAAGTACCGAGGGACCAGTGGCTCCCTGATAAAGGCACGTCTCCAAAACTTGTGCTGTATCTACCATGCTCTTGAGTTTGCTGCAGTTATAGATTTCTAAGAATGAATGAATGAATGAGTACAACCTTTCCTTGCTTCAATTGCTTAAAGAAACACAAATTAATCGATCTTTCAATTTTCTTTTCCAATCTTTGTAAATGGTAGACACTTAAATATGCCTTTAAGTGTCATAACTATCCTTTTGTAATAAAAAAATAAAATTAAAATAACATATCTCATTGTGTTTATGTGGTAAAGGGTACTGTATGTTATTTCATGATTTAGGTATGTCAATCCTGTTCAAACTCTGTCTTTGCTTATAATAAAAGAGAGATATTCAGGACCAGAACATTTTTGTTCGACATAATTTTATCAGACAGCCCAAGGGAATTGCATGTTTACCCTAATATATATAATAGGCAGTACGTATATGGGTGCACACTAACAGTGTCACACTTAGAAACTATATAAAAACCAAAGTAGGAAGTACTATCTAAACTTATTTTATAAATGAGTTATACACAGCAGCCTAACAAATTATCAAGAAAATAATATTTATGAGGCCCTAATTTGAGAAAAGCTGTAGTTTAGGTGGGACTTAGACTAATATATGTGTGGCATACGGACTATGTCAAGCAGTAGAACATCAAATGACCTACTTCAAGGTTTAAGGTTTGCAGTTACAATAGACTTCATTAAAATTTGTTATAATTAGAATCCAAGCATCTCAGATAAATTGAACTGAGGGACTCATACCTACTGTCCACTGAAACACTCTCATTCACTACACTATGAGATCTTCAGGACTGCAAAGATCATGTTAATCACAGCTCAGAAAGCTACTTAGCCTGCAGGCCAAATCCAGCCTGCCACCTGTCTTTGTAATAAAGTTTTATTGTAATACTGCTATGCCCATTAACTTACCTATCTATGACTGTTTTCATATTACAATGGCAGAGTGATGCAACAGAGGCGCTATGGCCTGTAAGCACTAAAATGTTGTCTCACACTTTTTAGAAAAATTTCACCAATTCTTGATTTAGATTACTGTTTTGAAAAAACAGTAATCTTACTGACTTCTTAATATCTCTTCTGAGCTTCTCTATACAGGTCTGAGTATTTCCAATAAGGAATAAAAATATAATATACGTCTGTTCTTATTCTAGGGAGGCATTCTTAGTGCTAAGAGGCAGTTTTGTGTAAAGGTTAAGAAGATGGAATCAAATCCCGGCTCTGCCCCTAACTCACTGCAAAATCTCAGGCAGATTACTTAAGCTCTCCGTGCTTCCATTTCCTCATCTTTAAAACAGTAACCATAAGAATACAAGCCTGAAAGGTTGTCATGATTGTTGAAAACATCTCACTTAGCACACGGCCTGGCACGCAGTGAAGACTTACATTAGCTAATAACTCTTTCCATTATATCATGATGACTGCGGACCATCCACAGCGAGCCAGCATAGCCTCCACGTGGTGGTTCTTCCAGCTCTCACGTGCGGTGGTTCTCCATGGAAGAGGGAACGGGGGGGTCCAGTTAAGACACTATGTGAACCTGAATCTACTGGGCTAGAGAAGCATGCACAGTGCAGACCTCGGTTTCTTCTTCCACAAAACATAAGGACTACACAGGAGAATCTCTCATCTCAGCCGAGCATATCTATACATTTATACAGAGGGCCCAACTATAAGACCCATTTAGCCTTCCTCATGGAAGAAAACAGGAACTGGGAACCCATAAATCCGAAGGCTGGAATGGTCACCAATTATTCAGAAAATCTCTGAATTCTCTAAAATCAGCAAAGCACTTTGCGAATTGGGAAGAAATATAAGCCTGTCCACCATGAGGTGGTAGTTTAGTTAGGGAGAAAAACGAAGAAGTTTATTAACAACAGTAGTGTCTTTGCAGTGCTAGTATTTGGAATGAGACTGTCACTTTCCCTCACTTTACTTGTTCCTCTCCCACACCACTAGCCCTCTATCCCCCTTCACCCCTCCCTCTCTGCTAGTCTCCCTAAAACTCATGGCAACGCCTCGGTCTAAAGTGCTTAAGAAAGGCTCCAGTGAAGACAGCATATCTAAGCCGGCCTCCAGAAGATCCAAACAAGCACGATTCGTGGTGTGGACAGACCACTGTGAAATGGGGGGCCAGTCCCCGCACTGCCCCAGGGCCACAGGAATGAGGAAGCTGTGTGGAGGCCTGACCAGGAGGATCCCTGAGAGGATCATGAGAGGTTTAGCACTAACCTAGCAGGCGCAGGGCACCGCAGAAGGTCCTAGAAGAGGAAGTGAGATGACAGTGGTATGCACTGCAAATAAGTGGAAGGAGAGAGCACAGAAGTAACCGCAGGAAACAAAACCGAAACCTGACGGGCAGCCATACTGCAAGGCAGAAGATGCTAAGAAGCATCTAAGCCTTTTCAGGTCTTCAGGTTCCTGAGTGATGCAGTGGTGGCATAAGCCCGAAATCGCTTTATTTGAAAGATTTCTGTATCTAAAAGCTTGCTCATTTTCTCTCATTTTTTTCCTTTTCTTTTCTTTTCTTTTTTCTTTGAGACAGAGTTTTGCTCTTATTGCCCAGGCTGGAGTAGTGCAGTGGCGAATCTGGCTCACTGCAACCTCCGCCTCCCGGGTTCAAGCAATCCTAGGGTTTCAGCCTCCTGAGTAGCTGGGATTACAGGCACGCACCACCACACCAGGCTAATTTTTGTGTTTTTAGTAGAGATGGGGTTTTACCATATGACCATGCTGGAATTTCTGACCTCAGGTGATCTGCCTGCCTCAGCCTCAAAGTGCTGGGATTACAGGCCTACGCCATCATGCCCAGCCCACTCTTGTTTTTAATAAGAGAGGTAAAGCTCACAAGCTATCAAAATATTTCAATCTGTAATTTTTTTGGTCTCGTCGCTTCCCGTTTCATTGTCTCACTTACCAAGGAGAGAGAGGGTGGAGGCCGGGTTTCCTCAGTCATGAATCACACAGACTCCACACCATGTGGGCACGCCAGCCCAAGTCTCATACACCAACACTTCAAAAAAGAAAAGAGAGAGACCCTGTCAAGCCATTTTAAAAGGGGGTGTGGTCATCGGTTATGAATTTCATGAAGTTCCATTAATGGCCTGAATGATCAGCATAAGCTGCTTTACCCATGTAGGACTTAGAGCAGTGACACGGGACAGCTTGGCATCACAATTATGCTACCCTATTTTATGATCATGTGCACTGATGGATTTTTTTCTTCAGAAAAGAAGAAATCAACATTTAAATGCTGTTAACAGATGAAATAACTCTCATGAAACATCGAAAGGAATCATTATTTCAAACCCATTTAAATTATCTTAAGCAGTCTGAAATTAAATGAAGATTTATTATATGAATGTGTCCATTTCATGATGACACTTTCATTCCATTTTTTGGAACATATGGTACCTTATGCAATGCATTTCAAAAACAGGAGATAAAGGCAGTAGCACAAACTTTGCTAGAAATTTGAGTTTGTATTTTTATTTACATATTATTAGGTGTCCAATGATGAGGTCTTATAGGAAAAAGAATTATAAATCATGAAAAACAAGCCCCTTTACCAAAACCAAGTAAATCTGTCCAATCTCTTCATTCAATTTAATATACAAACATTCTGAAAACTTGATGTTGTCACATTGTATGGAAAGACGACCACAAAACACCAGCCTCCAAAAACGTGTACGCCAGAAGCTGAAAAAAAGGTGACTTTCCACCAATTGTCCATAAGAGAAATGTGTTCATCATCGGTGAAGGACGCCTGTGACGTCCAATTCTGCACTTCAGGGCTCGTGCTTTTTTCTGTTCTCTTCGTTCATCTAGTTTCTCTTTTTTCTTCCCAGGTGGCAGCCTCTGGCTGCAATAAATGTGAAACACCCTGACGTTCTTCCTGCCCACCCTGATGAAGGGGAAACAGGAGGAGGAACTTCCCAGAACATTCTGGCTATCCCTCTAGACAGTGATTCCCACACGATCGGCTTCAGTCATGATCCAAGGCCATCTGCCTGCAGAAAATGAACTGAATGACAGCAGTTGGAAATTTATAAAATTTTATACCTACTGAAGTGCCAATTCAGAAGCCCTATGGCTCAGAGGTGAGGGAACAGGACGAGGTGGCACTACCTCTCCATGAGGCTCCCTTCCTCCAGGATGGACCTTTGGTATGTTTGTGGTAAGCAAGGGGTGACCCAGGGCAACACACTGGGAAGTGCCTGCACAAGACGCCCCAGCAGCCCAGGTACCCTCACATCGTGCAGCACGGCCAACCCTCCAGTCCCAGCAGAGTCCTTGAAAGTCCGTGACATCATCCTTTGGACAGGACAAGGAGCAGATGCAAATCCTTGAAGCCAAAAGAGGTGCCGGGGGAAGCACACTCAGTCTCAGAAATATTCCTAAGAGTGGCCAATTCCCTTTTCACGACATCAGTAATATCGCCTTTGGCTGTGGCAACAAAATATGTCAGTTGAAACTTCTTTACTAAATGGCATGTTTGAATGCACAAGCTTCCTCTCTCCAGCCCTAAAATCTGTTTTACCACAATTATTACTAAAATTTCCTTGTAGTTGTTTAGATCTGAGTTGAAATTTAAATAATAAGGTTTGACAGATCTACTGGTTACTGCCATGAAGAGCTGGCAATTTCTGTAAGTTCCCACGTCTCAGAACTACATTAAAAACAGGGCTGAGAGGTCTCCTGCCTCCCCCAGTGAGGTCACAAATGAGCTGATGTGACCCCTCAGCTGGACAGCCAAGCCACACCTATGGAATATGGGTCAGTCTCTTAAATGACAAAGAGACAGGTGCCATAAAGAACACTGTAAGAATTCACAATCAGTGACACAACCAGAGAGCAAATACTGCAGGAAGAAGACATCCCTGCTGAATCTAGGACAGGCAGCCACAGGCTGGACGGCCAGACGGTCCTGGTCCATCCACCAGACTCCAAAACCCAGCCCCTTCCTTGTGGAAAAGCAACACCCGCGGGACAGAGCTCTCGTGGCTTGGGGGAAAACACAGCTTCCTACAGAATTTGATGTCTAAACAGGAAATCAGTCCCAGCAGCAGGATTCAGGGATGTCCACCCTAAAGGGCTGTTACTCTGCCTGTGTTTACATCAATAGTGAAAACAATGTTTTACCAGCCTGGTGCTTTTTGGCCAAGTGAGCAGTATCAGGACTCTCTACTCCTGAGGGTCAGCCCTTGCCTGGGGAAGACAGGGCGCTCACCAGGACACCCATATGTGCCTGGGAGCATGCACTCAGGAGCAGAAATGACAGCGACAAAGCAGAGGCCTTGAGTTAGAGCCAAACTAGAGGAACAGACGATGGTTCTCACAGGTCCAGAAGCGGAGCCCTCCTGTCCTCCCCTAGCAAGGTCATAGATTAGGCAAAGCATCAATCATAAATCACTGACATGTTTTCTAGAAAACTGAGAATAAAGTCAAAAGGTAAAGAAACTACAGAGCCCCAGAGGCTCACTCCAGACTGGAAGTTGAAAGTTTTTTAAGTGACATTTAACTACCCATTTAAGAAGAAACTGCTTATTTTTTATTAACATATAATTTTCTCTGTTTGACTCAATTCCATGTCACCCATATTATTTTCTCTTTTAGCTTAGCATTCACCTTGGTACAACCAACCTCTGAAATCCTCTGAGTCATCATTTTCAGAGTTCTGCTTCTTAAAAGCTGCCACCATGAGCATACATGTACAGAACTATCATGGCAACACTTTTGATTTACAAACAGTAACTCTTTCCCAGAAGTTTTGCCCTGTGGCCACCTACACAAGCTCTTCAAATTGTCTCTAAATGAAAGTACATGAAGAAGATTTAATATCAATTATAACTTACTAAGTGCCCATCAGCACATGACTTTCTGCTAAAATATGCAACCTTCTCCCTGCCCAACTTACTCAGAATGAGGTAAGATGTAGATTTAAACATTATTTTGGAGACCAAAGGTGAGCTGAGGCCTTTATCTCGCAGATACATGAAAGAAATTAACATGTCAGGGTCAGTCTTAAGAGCTGAATTTAGAAACTGTAAAACAGTAAGGTTACAGTGGAAATCAAAATGGACAAGACCACCTGGCATCACAAAGTTTAGCCGAGTAATGAAAAGAAACCCTAAAAGATACAGATTCAAGAAACCTAAGAAGTGCTGGGCCAGCATTTCCCAAAGGCAAGAATTAGACCAGTGACCACGGCATTTAATTGACTGGCCTCTCATCATCGGTCCCTCAGTCAATCACTATGCACAGCGCACCACCATGGCCACATATGGCAGGTGCTTAGAAGACACAGCAAGAAGCTATTACAATCTCAGGAGCTCTCCATATGATTTTTATGCTATGTAGTTCAACAAATACTATGAACTGGAGGAAAGAGAATTTACTTCCAGACAGAAGAGTCAAGGAAAGATTTCTGAAAAGGGGAAACGTGATGTGGGCTCTGAGGGATGAGTGGGTGATAAGGAGGACATTAAAAGAGACGGAAAAGTATGTTTTCGTGGGTGCGCTGCAGGCGAAACAAATAAATGAGGGAGGAACAGCTGAAAGCCATAAAGTATAAGGGAAGAGCCACTTAGGCCAGCACCACAATGAGTTAAAGCATGAGTTCCTGGTATCACCCCTGGAGTTAGGTGGGAACCCCACCATGGAGCCCACCATGATGAGTTTGCAGGAGTGCAAACTGAAATACATAGGTGAAAACAAGCGATTCTGCAAAGGTAAAAATCTAGACTGTAAAGCCATGAGAGTCACAGATAGAAAGCTGGGCTCATGCTCAAGTCCTGGAGGAAGACAAGGAAGTAAACAGGAGGGTGGATTCCAGGTAGGAGGCCAAGGAGCAGGGAGGGTGGCATCAGGAGTGTGGGGGCAGCCAGCATTGGCTAGCAGGAGCATGTGCCACCAGGACTACCTGCAAGGCCACTCTCACGCAAGGCCGAGGGCATGAAGGGCTCAAAGGAGCCACTCCAGACAGCTAAGAGAGGGAAAAGTAGATGACACACAGATCGTAGGGATTTTAACATGCAAAACACATGAGGCTTCATCCAAAGGAAGGCAGAGTCGCTGAATGTTCAGTGTCTCTAAATGGAAGAACATGAAGAAGATTTAATATCAATTATAAATTACTAAGTGCCCATCAGCGCATGACTTTCTGCTAAAATATGCAACCTTCTCCCTGCCCAGCTTACTCAGAATGAGGTAAGATGTAGATTTAAACATTATTCTGGAGGCCAAAAGTGAGCTGAGTGGCAGCCTTTATCCTGCAGATACACGACAAAAATTAACATGCCAGGCCAGTCTTGAGAGCTTACTGAGGAATGAATGTTCTTGAATTTAGGACAATAACTTAAATGATGAAAATCAGAATTTTCTCAGTAGGAATTAAAATACAAAATGCATAAAGGACATTATTTTTGGAAGTGCTTTCATCCAGTGCCACTGGTGTGACTGAAAGGAACAATCTGGAGGACCCAGCACTCAGAAGTGGGCTGTGGGATGAGAAGCCATTCACTCTGGCTGTACGTACTGCAAATTTCTGTCACTGTCCCCAGCCTGACTGTCCAGGCTTGCATGAGGGCTTCTCTCACAGCCTCTGTCACTTGCTCCACATAGGTGGGCTTCACAGGAATGTGCTTGGATAAATCAACACCAGACATTTAGGATAACAATGTCCCTTAGAAGAAAGGCGGTCTCTGTGGCTGGGGGTCCTCGGAAACCTCAGCCACTCAAGAAAGTAAAGTGTGGGTGACAGAAACAGAGAATAAGGCTTTAAAGCAAAAGTAGTAGGGAAGAAAGCAGAGAGGGGGGAAGGGGAAGGAGGAGCAGAAGAAAAGGAAGAGGGGGAAGAAAAATGCACCAGAAGTAGCTACAGGGATAACGGGATGCCCCGAAATGGTGCAGCCTTTTGGAAAATATGATATAATTTATCATTATAAAATGTCCCATTATTGTTTCCTTCAACTTTTGTTAAAATAAATGTTATAGAAAATTGGTGTTTAAAAC